TCAAGAACAACCCCCAAATACTTATAACTGTCCACCAGTTCAATGGCTGCACCATTTACCACTGTTAGTGCAGGATGGGGGGATGTCTTCCTGAAGTCAATAACCATGTCCTTGGTTTATTGTAAAGTAAAAGTGATAACATTTGAAATAAAAACTGTTAAAGACTAACAGCAGCTGTCTCTGCTTCTCGGGTTGCATTTATGTGGTCTTTGTGCTGTTGTTGCTTATTGTGCACTGTAATGGAATTATTACATGAATAATATGCTCTGCTGTGTGACACAGACAATCCAAGAACTGTAGTTTTATTGGGTGAAATTAGTTAGTAAACATGTTATTACTGTGTTTGCCACTTTCCTAATTTACTTTTTGTATGTTTGTCACACGTAAATGCTTCAGACCAAATTTAAATGTTAGACAAAGATAACACAAGTAAACACAAAATGCAGTTTCCAGATGAAGGTGTTTAGCCCTGTGCTAAAGAGTGAAGTGGTTGGACCACCCTTAGCAGAAAAACTGCAATCAAGCGTTTGCAGTAACTGTTAATGAGTCTCTTGCAGCACTGCTGGCCCACTCATCTTTGCAGATTTGTTGTAATTCAGCCACATTGGAGGGTTTTCAAGGACGAACCACCTTTCAAAGGTCATGCCACAGCATCTCAATCGGATACAGGTCAGGACTTTGGCCACTCCAAGGTCCTCATCTTGTTTTTCCTCAGCCATGCAGAGGTAGACTTGCTGGTGTGTTTCGGATCATCGTCAAGTGAGCTTCAGCTTGAGGTCATGAACAGATGTGCGGACATTCTCCATCATGTTTTGGTCAACAGCAGAACTCGTGCTTCCATTTACCACAGCAAGTCTTCTGCTGATGCAGCAAAACAGCCCCAGACCATCACGCTAACACCAACATATGTTACTGTGGTATGATGTTTGCTGAAATGCTGTTACTTTTACTCCAGATGTAACGGGACACACACCTTCAACATTTGTCTCATCAGTCCACAGAGTGTTTTTCCAAAAGTCTGGGCCATATCATACCGTTCACGGTAATACCGGTGTAATGTTGGGCAACGATAAGAAAATGAAA